TATTTCTATATTTTCTGTAAGATAGAGCACATAATGTTTTTTATCAAGGGTTTGAGAATCCTTTCTCTTTCTTTAAATAATTCTCACTCACTCGTACACTCCTCACTTTAAAAATCCAGACAACACTCAAGTATATAAAATATCACTTCTGTTTGTTTTTTAAGTTTAAAAGGACCACCAGATAAGGTGGGAGAAGGGAATGAGTCCTCTCAGCATCATTTGCTGGCTCTCCCCATTCTACTCAGACCTCGCTGTTGAAGTGTTTTGGAGCTCAGCCCTCGGTCTTGTCTTTTTTTTTATTTAATAATTTTTAAATGTTATGGTGGTAAGAATACTTAAGATCTACCCTCTTAACCTAGGCCCTCTTCTTTTACTACCTACTCTCCCTAAGTAAATCCATTCATTCTTTGTTTGCAACTACCTCCATCCCAGATCCCCGGCTCAGATCTTTCTCCTGATACCCATTCACATGCCTCTCACACTCAGCAATTTCAAACCAAACTCATGCCAATTTCAAACCTACTTTCCCAATCACGCCTTCAAACCTGTATCCCTTAGCATTGCCACCCACCTAGTTGTTCATGCCAGAAATCTCTGAGACATCCTCAACCCATTTCTCTTGGGCCTACTACAGTCATTCACCAATTTCTGGCTTCTAGACCTCCAAAGTACTTTAGAATTCTTACACTTTGCTCCCTCTCCACTGCCAGCACCATGGTGCCAGCTTCAGTTCTCTCTCCTGAACCACTGCATAGAACATTCCCCCACAGCTAGGAACCCTGTCCATCTGCAGGATTCTTGGGTGATCTTTAAAAAACACATATGATCATGCCAGTCCCTTGCTCAGAGAGTATGGATGATTTCTCATGGCTTCTAGGGTTAGAGTCCATTCTTCCATTCCATGGCTTATGGGGGCCTACATTACCTGACCCCTCTGATCTCTCTAGCTTCACCTTCTCCTCCCTTTGTTCACAAGCTCCAGCCACAGTTACCTCCTCTCTGCTTGTCAAGAGCAACATGTTACTTCCAGCATCAAAGCTTTCATGTTCTCATACCACCACTCAATCCCACCTCTCCCCCAATCCTGTCTCCCACAATTATTGATTCCAAATCTTACTTATCCTTCAAGTCTCAGTTTAAATATCTCTTTCTCAGGGAGGCCTTCATGGATTCCAAAGTCTTGGTGTAGCCTCTCTGTGGTACACTACTGTAATTTCCTGTTTATTTCTATCTAGGGAGTTTAAAATACAGTTGTAGTTATATGGTTATTTGGTTAATTTTTTTTTCAAAGTCTGCCACCAAATTTCCTCCCGTAATGATCTAGAGCAAGAGAAAGATGAACAGCTGAATTGAAAGAAAATAAAGAGAACTTTCTGGTCTGCAGTTTTCTAAGGGGTAATACAAACACATTTTCTTTAAACACCACGTCAATCAAAATGTCAGAGAACTTATTCTTAAAATAGAATGCTTAATAAAAAATTTGTAGCAGTATATGAGTTTTAAATGCAAGCATATAATGTAGGGGAAATTAAAATATATATATATTACCCTTAGCTCAATAGTAACCATATAAAGTATTTATAATACTTCTACCATCCATTTCTCTAATATTGAATTTCAGCTTTATAGCCTCTTCTCCCACTTGCCTGACTTATTTAAATTGCCCACTGAAGCTGATAGACTTTTAGAAGGAACCTCACAGATGTGTTCCTGCCACAGCGAGTTCCTATATGGGAAATGACCCAAGGCAGGCAATAAAAACATT